GCTCTGTGGGGACAACACTTACTTTTTAAACCCCGCCCCCCCCCCCCCCGCCTGCAGCATGAACAGTCATAATTTTCCTGTGGGAATATTAATGTGTTTGGTCACGAGTTGCTGCTCATTATGTACATTGCATGACAGTCTCAAATATAAAAAATCGCTAATTTCCAAAATACTTCTGGTCCAGGGGCTTCAGAGGAGGGATGGTAGACCTATGTGATCCCTACTCGACAGATGAGGGCTCAGAGATGCTGAGGTCCCACAGGAGTGAGTGGTTGGGGATGGGATGTGAGCACAGGCCACCTGACCCCAGAAATTCTGTCTTTCTACCCTCTCACTGATCTGCTAAGACTCTGATCCTCAACTTGGGATCTGGGGCCTCAAGCTGATGCCATGTAGCTGGGGGCCAGGCCCCAACTCCCTCGCAAGTGTGGAAGAGCAGCAGCATGCAGTTAACGGGTCCCCTGGGTTCTGGCATTCGGTGAAGGAAAGCCATGCAGCCCTGCCATCGGCACGTGGCCCGGGCCCAGCTTCGCCATCATGCAGGGCCTGTGGAAGAGCCTTGGGAAAGCTGGCTGCCAGTCCTCAGGTGAGGGTGGCAAGGGAGGGTCAGAGGTTAGTGACACACTCAGGTACCTCCTGCTGCACGTCAGGGGCTGGTGACTTGTTCTGTTGCAATCCAGTGAGGTTCGACTTGAGGTTCGGGTCGGCGGAGCCTGGGGCCGCCAGCTCTTCCGACTGGGCTGGGGAGCCTAGCTTCTCTGAGGCGTCCACTGTCTCTGGGGAGGCTGGTTTCCCCGAGGAGCCTGGCTCCTGGCTGGAGGGCTTCTCCCCCTTCCCGGGAGACTGCCTGCTACGTGGCCTGTGGTCCTTGCCCCTGCCCCGAGACATCAGGCTCCGCAGGCCCATGGAGAGCTCATCCTTGGCGGCCTCCTTCTCTGCTTCGGACTTAGGCCGAGCAGGGGGAGTAGGAGTGGCTGTCTTTTCTCCCTTCCTGCCTCGAGCTGGGTGCTCAGGAGATCTGACCCCTCTGCCCGCAGGTTCCTTGGCGCTCCCAGGCTCCTCGCCAGGCAGCACCTTGCTCACCACCTTCCTCACTGCATTCGCCACCCTCTTCCGGGACAGGCCCTGGGCCTCCTCACTGGGGCCTTCCGCTGAGGCAGTCCTCGGGCCGTTCATGGCGAGTGTGGATGCAGGGCTCTTGGCTCTCTGGGGAGCCTTTGAGGGTACAGGGCTGGTGGAAGGCTGAGGACTCTTAGATGGGCCACTGCTGCCCTTTGAGCTGCCCTCTAGCTACAGTCACACAAATACAGGGAGACATTAGCATCAGCCCGTGTCCCTGCCCGCCCCACACAGAGGAAGTAAGAGGTGTGACCTCACATCTAGTCGTGGAACAGACCTTCCATTCATCCAACAAACAACACAAGCTCCAAGAGGCCACCCCAGGAAGCCCTCTTTCCATCTTCCAGATAGAACAACTGCATCAAAGAGTTTGGCTTCTCTCTCCCATAAAGCACAGCAGGTCACCTGCTGTCCATCTCCAGGCTTAGCAAGGAGCTGTGAGAGGCCAGCACAGGGTGTCCAGAGGCCCATGAGGTACCCCAGAGTTACTGGCTTATGTCAGGACAGCAACTAAGCCTGGATCCCAGGAAGCCCGCTCCCTCACAGCCCAAACACAGCAGAGACGGAGCATGGCGAGGTCAAACACCAATTCCTACCATCAATCCTGGGCCTAACTCTGGGGCTTCCTGCCTTTGTGGTCCCTAGTCCTTCTATCACCCAACTACTTCCTCTGTAGTCAGACCCAGAGCCTGCCCATCCGAATGAAAACCGTAGTTAGGAAGTAATTCTTGGCCCGCAGACATGCCAAGCCTCCTCCCTCCCCACTCCTCTGGGTTGAGGCCACTGTCTACCCCTCACCCACACTCTCCAGAGCTGCAGAAACCCAGTGCTGGCCCAGGAAGCTTCCACCTCAGCCTGCTTTCTGCCAGTCTCCCTGCAGTTTTCCTTGTGCAAACCTCTCCAGGGCTGGAGGCCTCCTAGCTCCCAGAGTGTGCACGTGGAGGAAGAGGTGGCAGCTGCAGCACTCAAAGGGTTAAGCACTCAAGCGACCACAGCTCCACTCTGTCTAGGCTCAGCCAGCCTCTGGGCACCCAGGAGTCCACTGAAGATGCTGGCACACTCTGCCTGGTGGGGACTGTCTGCGGTCTCGAGGGACTGCCACTGGGCAGGCCCGGCTGGCTAATGGCAGGGCAGTTTCCTGCAAAGCCAAGCCACATGGCCTGGGAGAGCCAGGTCAACCTAGGGGCTCCTTGCTGGTCAGGCAGTGCCCTGCCACTAATGAGCTGTGCTTGAGTCCTCGTTCCCCAAACAGTGACCTTGGTTCTAGGGTGTACCTGGCGGCCACCTCTGTTGAAATGCAGGAGGGCGCTCACAGAGTGGACAGGCCTCTGGCTGCCGTGTGGACAGAGACCCACGTCCTGAGCAGAGCTGAGCCAAACGACCTCAGCCCAGGCCTCAGGTACAGGGTGGCCCTGCTGCAGGGGTGGGAAAGGGAGGCCTTGAAGGGGCCTCTTCCTCAACCTCTTGGGCCAAGAGTGTTCAGTGGCATGTCAGGGCCCTGCGGAGCTGCCGTGGCCCCAGCTGCTGGGCCTCACTCCCTGCCCCCCACTTCTGGCTTTCCTCCCATGCCTTCTAACTGAAGCTCATGTTGACAGTGACAATGATGATAGTAACTGCTAACTTAAACGGAGCTCATTATGTGCCAGGCAGTCTTCTAAGCACTTTACACGTGATTTCCCCCCAAATCTGGCATTCTCCCAGGTCCCTCCCTCACAAATCTCAAACATATCCCCTTGAAATCACCCCGACCTTGCAGCACTGCCTACAGATCAGGTGGAAGCCATAACACCTGGCTAATCAAATCTCCACTCAAGGAAGGGGTGTAGGGGGGGGCGGGGGGCAGGCACCATGCGGGGTAACGAAGTACAGATCTGTTTTGTGATCCAGCCCTGTTCCCGAGCCCTGGGCACTCCTGCCCGCTAGATCAACAGCAGCCCTCTCCTGACTACACGTCTCTGGACCTGGCTATTCTAGAACCGTGTCCCCTCTCTTGCCTTAAAAGTGTCCAACTTTATTCAGGGTCTCTGTCCCAAGGCAGAATGACTTGTGTGGGGGGGGTAGTGGCACTGCACGGCTGGAGCCTGCCTCTAGGTCACCCGCGCTGAGCAGCTGACAGGGTCTTGGGAAGAGACAGCAGCAGCTGCAGTGAAACCCCTCCCTGCCCTTGGCTTGTGCCACCCAGAGCAGGACGAAGAGTGCCAACAGCTGAGCTCTCATTTGTCTGCCTAGGCCTCTCCAGCCCCAAAGAGTTCAGGAAACCAGAACTATAGGTAGGAACTAAAGAGGGGGCTTAGGGAGAGGCCCCCAACGTGCCTTGGCATTGCCATCTCCTTCACACACACCAGGTTGGCATCACACATGCTGCACTTTGGCACTTTACTGCAATTCCCTCTAGCCACCCCACACGGGAAGGGGCACCCTGCCGTGCCTGCCTGCTCCGTGGAACTGCCTCCCAGACTAGGCCTGGGCTTGTGGACACAACCCACCTGGACACACAACTCTCTCTCTCTCTCTCTCATACACACACACACACACACACACACACACACACACACACACACACACACAC